AATTTGTTGCCGGTTCCAACCGGTCAAAATGGGTCAAAATGCATACTTTTGCCGGTTTTTAGGATTTTTTCGTAAACAAAAATTAGTTTATGACTAAAACGTAAACCGGACCAAAATTTTAGGACTTTATTGGAGATTTCCCTATTTTATATATCTAAAATACTAGGGTTCTAGAATTTAAGATTTCAAAATTAAACTATTTAATTAAATTTTAAATCATGAAACCAATGGGATATTTTAAAACTTTTCAAAAATACTAGGTTAAATCTTTAATAATTAAATTAGCAATTAATTTTATCTTTATCTAAGGATTTAAACCAAATCATTAATTTTGATAAGGATATTCAATTACCTTTATTAAAAAAAAATTCAATTTTAGGCAGAAAAACGAATGAAGGTAATAATCCTAATCAAGCCAAGATTATTAAAATCAAAAAAATCAGGGATCTGACAGGCCAACTCATCGAGTCTGTGCAATGCACTTGTCGAGTTGGACCAACTCGTCGAGTTCCAAACATGAACTCATTGAGTTTTATGAACAGAATGGCGATTTTGCTCCCTTATCCTTTGAACGATTCACAATTGCATCAAGTTCAATTAAAAAACATCCTAGGCTCTGATACAACTGATGAGTTTTGAGCATAACTACAAATCATATGTGTTCATGTAACCCTAAATTAAGGATCTAGGTTTACACTAGTTGAACATGCAAACTTGAATACAAAAGAGAAACCCTAATATGCATCAATAAAACTCGAAAATAAAGGTTTAGATACATACCTCAATTGTTATTTAGTAATAACAATTAATCCTTGTTGATTCTTGAACTCTTGAAAGCAAGTGTCTTAAATGTGACACCTCTATTAGCTTACAAACACTCTTTGCAATAGGATGAGAGGAGAGAGGAGGAGGCACACAAGAATTTTCGACTCTACTAGGGTTAGGATAAAGTCATCAAAAATCCAAGGAGTTAGCCTCCTTAGATACTTGTGGTTTCTTAGTCCCAAAGCTAGGGTTTTAAGGTGGAAACCCTAATTTCCCGCTTAAGGCCTAAGCAGCCATGAACTCCCTAATTAGAAGCCTTGGACGAAAACTTATAGGGTTACCCTATAATTTTCGTCCACTCTTATCTAAGGAGTCCAAGAGCCCAGTTTCACAACTATCAATAATTTGCAAAACAACCATTGCACTTCTAATTAATTCATTTAATCCGAAAATTAATTCCAAATTAATTTTTGATTAAATATTAATTAAACAACATGATTTCCAATTAATATATTATTTTCATAACATATTAATAAATCATTTATACTAATTTATTATTCCAAATAATAAATTCAACTTCTCTCTAATAATCATCATGTCAAGTTACAAGAGTAAAGGCAACCCAAAAGGACTTTTGCATCTATCAATTCAAGTATATACCAATTATAGTTATGGGTTTAGACACCTAATCCAACAAAATCTTGGTCCCATAAGTCATTGTTATTGTAATGTACGGTACCAAAATCGTCTCCAGGAGTCTTATTGATTAGTTTTAGGACCATGACTAAAGTAGCTTCATGCTCTGCTAAACGCTCATCCATTGACCTTAACTGCTCGTGATATTTGTCGAGCTCATTTTTCAATTGACCGACCTCATTTTTCAAGTCACTAATATTTCGTTCCTTGTCAGTTGATGGGTCAGCAGCTGGTAATGTTGGTGGTGGCGGGTGGGATTGATCATCTGTTTGTGCCTTCTTTTGTCGAGGCTCATGGGTATGGGAGTTTTTAGGTGATGGTGTTAGGGAAGATACCCTGTAAAATTCAATGTCGGGGAAATCAGGACCATCAATACATGTCGAGCTAACTATCCACCATTCAACACGCATCTCAACTTATGTCGGCTCCAACTTCTGTATGAATCTATTATTCTGCTAAAAAAATTATAAAACTATAAATAAACATAAATTACAAAATAAATAAATATTAAATAATTACATAACCATACATCGTCGATTTATAAAAACTGGTTGCATTAAAAAAAAATTTAAAATCCTCAGTTTTGACCATGCAACAGCCCAATGGATCATATTCTGTTATCGGGTACCAAACAAACTACTTACCAGAGAAGTTTCAAGAATCCATATCTAAATGTTAGCAAACAAACAAATAAAAAATTGCTAGAATGTTAGCAAACAAAAATAAATAATAAAATTTTCATCATATACTTACCTTAAAAGCGTATAAAACACGTGTAGTGTGTATGTCATTTTTTTGAGGTTGGTTCTCTTTCGGTTCGATTGGATGTATATACTTGTCAACCTTATTGAATACAGTTTCCAACTGTGAGTCCAATTGATCTCAAATTATCATCCCCTATGGATATATTCCACATAAAAAATTAATTAACAAATAAATTTCTAAAAAAATATTAGTAATGATAAGTAATTATAATCAGTAATTATAAAATAGACAACATTATACCTGGCTATTTATCAAGGTTGGATAGCAAATTAAAATACTCTTTTGTAACTGGCTATTTAGGCAACCACTCATTGAAACCCTTATTTAACAGGTATATGAGAAATACATGAACTGCATCCTCGTTTGATAACTCATTAAGTGATTGTTTAAACACCTTAATAACATCGTCTAATTTGACCGAGATATTCCTCGGGATCATACGAAAGACACGGGAACGGAAGGCGGTGCCAGATGTAGAAGCAGGAAAATAATCACCAAACCAGAAGCCGGTGATGAGACAAAAATTCTTTCTTCCTGAAAGATAGCTCGTAACCCCCAATCTCAAAAACCATTTCCTATACTTGGCTTCGGGGGTCGGTGACAACTTCATGGTAAAAGACGTAATGTATAAGCAAAAGACCCATATCTACATTAGCAATGTCTAACAACCTCCCAAAACATGTATTCCGAAACATAGTCTCGCATTCGGGCCTGTCTCTGAATGTCGCACAAATTTTCCCGCCAATTTTGGGTTTACAAGAGAGTGTAATGGATGCATCAAAAACCATGTTGTGTTGCACAAATAAAAAATGTGTTATCACTTCATTCCGAAAAAAAATGACCAATATTTTTGACCAGTTCCTCATGTTTCAGACGAGTTCATCGTGTTTCAAAACAGTTCCTTGCATTCCGGAGGCTTCCAGAACTTTTAAGATATGGAGCACTACATTTCGATGTAAATTAACAATACCTAAACATCTAAACTACTATTCAGTTGGTCCTACAATAATGGTGTCTTTAATTTAAACTCCAGAATATTTTCAATTCATTTCGGAGGTGTTCTATGCATTCCGTAACGGCGATTGTAGATGAATAAACAGTTGATATAAACAAGCAAACTATGTCAAGAAAAAGCAAAGAATGTCCCGTAAAATAACAGGGTCGTAGTGCTCTTCTTCGATGTTGGAGTTGCATGCCGGAGATCGGACTTGCGTGTTGGAGATTAGAATGACAATCGAAATTGAAAGTCAAAAGATCCGAAATTGCATGTTGGAATCGGAATCAAAAGTTAGAGCAAGATCCAAAATAAAGGCGAGGGTTCAGATTTTTTCAAATTATTTTCCGGAATTTGAAATTCAAATTCCCGATCTGGAACACAAACGGATAGTCCGGAATGACAATTCTGGACCTATAGTAGTGGGCCAGCCCACCTGAAAATTTGTTTGAAATATGTTCCGGAATGTCCCATTCCGAAATAAATGGTCATTTTACATATATATATATATATATATATATATATATATATATATATATATTATATATATATATATATATATATTAAATTACTCAATTTCCTTTTAACATACAGAAATCGTATTATATCAACTTTAGTCGACAAACCAAAGTTAAGAATGGGTTACTCATGCATGGTTTGAACACGATTCCCCATAATAATTGTGTATTTAAACTTTTATTTGACTAATTCATATTACGAACAATAATCCAAATGGTTGACCTGTTTAAACAAGAAAGTTGACTTTTATGACATTCCAAGATTGTTGAGGGGTGTTAATGTTATGTTTTTAAAGTTGGAGGTCAAGGTCATAACATTTATGTTTCCGTTAAGTGGGCCGAAATTATCTGTGCGCGACGCGCACAAGTTATGTATGTACCCAGTCCTTAAAACGACGCGTTTCCTAAACTCGCCTTGTTTTCTTATTTTGACCTTTCTACCCCTCACCTAGTTCCGTTACAATTTACAAAATAATAATCCAATATCTAAAATACCTTTTTAATAAAAACCTGTGAATTAATATTTTATCGAAAACGTTTATATTTTAATAAGTACGACCTTTTTCAATTTTGTTCCATCTGAAAATAAACACAAACATTTTTTGCAGTATATTGATTATTTAATCATAATCAATATAAAAATACAATGTTTATTATAACTCCATCAATATTATATTTATTGTAAAATTGATAAGTATATATTTTGTGTATAAAACTTTATATATTTATGGACCAATTGAAACTTTTACTGTCTGTCCATAATGTTATTCAAATAACAAAACTTAGTAGTCTGTGTCTTTTAGCTTATCATGTAAAATATTTAATTTGGATATCTATATATAGTTGTTGCTTTCTTACCTTAATCTATACATAATTACTAAATGAATTAGTGTTCAAAAAACACAACCTAACGGCACGCTATTAAGGCATTAACTTTTTACATATTTGTCTTTTCTGTTTTGTCTTTTACTTTTAACATCTTTCATGTTAAAACTAATAAATAATTTTAAACTTTATGAATATTATGAAATTTGTCTAAGGATAAAATAATTATTTAGACTTAATGGTTATTGAGCTTTAAAAATCAAACCTTAATACAATATGTTATTCTGACAATGATCATTATTTAACATAATAATTTAACTTGTAGTGGAAACGATGACTGAAGAACAAGTTTTTATTTGGGATTGAAAATGTCTAATTTCAAGGTTAATTTTGTCAATTCAAAAAATATTTTAATTAATTATATAATTTCAAAGATAATGGGGGGGTCGACAACCAAAACGGCTTCTTGTAGAGCGATGCACAACTGCCACCCGTTAACCAGAGAAAGAGAGAGAAATCCAAAGAAAACAATTCCTTCTCACACGCAGGCTTAGGCTTTCTTTCTCTCTTTCTCTCTCTAAAAAGAAAATACTAATACACCTCACAACAGCTTTTTCCACATCCCCTATGCTCTTGCTCTAATCTTTCTACATTTCTTTCTTTTCTTTTTTCCATTTGGGTTTTTGTTTCTATTCCCAAATCAAATCTTCCCGTTTCTTTGCAACGATATAGGGTTATCTACTTCTCTGGTTTCTCTCACTCTCCGCCGATAAAGAAGAATCACTCGTCTTCTTCCATTGAGATCTTACGGGTGCGAAAAAGTTCATTCATTTTGTTTTATTGATTTGGGTCTACCCTCGATTGATTTGAGGGTGATCTGTTTGTTTAATCGATTGGGGGGAGTTTTAGATTTGGATGACGTCTACTTTATCAAAATATCTCGATAAAGTTTATACGATGGCAGAAGGGGGATCTCGGTATTGCTCTAAAAAATCTGATGATATCTGTGGTGATATATGTGATGAGGTAATTTCTAATCTAATCCTTTTTCTCAGTTCGAATTAGTTTCTGGGTTTGATGATTGCATTGTCTGCTTGGATTTGCTGATTTCACTGTTGGTTTAGCCGTTTAGGTTTACCTTTCCGAAATCCGGACCAAATCAACTTTTAATATTGCTTTATTTACAAATTCGGAAATTAGAATTTTCTACTTTCAAATCGTTATCGTTGAAATCGTAACCTTTTTTGTTTTCCCCCTTTCGTTTATGGTCGTTACGAGCTTCAGTCTTCTAATTGAAAATCAAACGTTTTGATTTGCAGGATTCAGGAAAGCCTTCCACCATGGCAAGATTACGATGCATTCTACGAGGACTCGAGCTCAAAACCATCATCTTCCTTTTCGTAATGGTCCCAAGCATCGTCCTCGGTTTATACATCCACGGACAAAAAGTCTCCTACTTTTTACGACCCTTATGGGAATCACCACCAAAACCCTTCCACGAAATCCCGCACTACTATCACGAAAACGTATCAATGGAAAATCTCTGCAAACTCCATGGCTGGGGCACACGAGAGTTCCCAAGACGCGTATTTGATGCAGTATTATTCAGTAATGAAGTCGACCTTTTAACAATAAGATGGCACGAATTATACCCTTATGTCACTGAATTTGTCCTCCTTGAATCAAACTCCACATTCACAGGAATCCCAAAGCCTCTAGTGTTCGCGAGTCAACAAGATAAGTTCAAATTCGTGGCCCCACGTTTAACATATGGTCAAATTCCAGGAAGATTTCAAAAGGGTGAAAACCCTTTTGTTGAAGAAGCATACCAAAGACTTGCATTGGATTTTCTGTTGAAAAAAGCCGGGATTCAAGATGATGACTTGTTGATCATGTCAGATGTTGACGAGATTCCAAGTCGACATACAATCAATCTGTTGAGATGGTGTGACGACATCCCTCAAATTCTTCATCTTCGATTAAAAAATTACTTATATTCGTTTGAATTTCTATTGGATAACAATAGTTGGAGGGCGTCTGTTCACAGATATCAATCGGGAAAAACAACGTATGCTCATTATCGACAATCTGACATCATGTTGGCGGATGCTGGGTGGCATTGTAGCTTTTGTTTTCGCCACATCAGCGAGTTCATCTTCAAAATGAAAGCTTATAGTCATGTCGATAGGGTGAGGTTCAATAAGTTTTTGAATCCTACGAGGGTTCAAAAGGTAATTTGCAAAGGTTCGGATCTTTTCGATATGCTTCCGGAAGAGTACACGTTTAAAGAAATCATCGGGAAAATGGGACCCATTCCACATTCGTATTCAGCTGTTCATCTTCCTGCACATCTTATAGAAAACGCAGATAAATACAGATTTCTTTTACCTGGGAATTGTATAAGAGAAAGTGGGTAATAATTAATGTCTTCTTCTTCTTCTTCTTCTTCTTCTTCTTCTTCCGTGTAAAGATTTGAGCTTTGAAGTTGAAAAGAGGTGGTGTCTTGCAACTTTGACCAAACAATAGTCAACTCTGGTATGTGTTTTCTTGCTATTGTTTAGTGTGGGGCCGGATGGGTTGATGGAGTGTACATAGTGATGTTTGTCTTTTCCGGTTGTTTATTGGTATGTTTTCAGAATCTTGGCATAGTGATTTGCTGAGTTTTTGGGGGTTGGAGGAGATGAGATTCATGTGTTTTGAGGTTTGTTTGCCTTGCCTCCCCCCAGAGAGATAGTTAAGTTCAGGAAGTTTCGGGATTCTGTTATATTAGGAAATTTTGAATCTGAGACTTATATGTTATTAATTATTATTATTATTATTACTATTATTATTCAAGTTTGTGTTTATGTTTTAACTTTGTATCTTGGGTTGTGTGGATTTTGAAGATGGTGGGATTGTGTTTTTAGTTCATGTGGAGTGTGTGAAGTTGATTTTACATGCAAAACACATGCTAATCATGAATTTGGATGATTAAAAGACGGTTTGGAAGTGTGAAAGATCTAGAAGAGAATGGGGTTTATATATGTCTGATTGGCTTTTGGGTATTCATTCTTTCATGTGGCTTAATTCTTATAGTCTTTGATCTTTTATTGGACGTTTTCTTTCAAAGCTTCTTAATTTAAAACCGAATATGATGTAGCCAGTGGTGGTATACTTTTGACACCTAATTTTATTATAATGTGGCAATTGATTTTTTTTTTCATGGTTATGATTAATCTGATCAATATCTTATAAACAAATGAATAAATTGGTGGAATCTTTCGCAAAAGTAAAAATGGAAAAAAAATAATAATAATAAAGTGTTGAATTCGGTTTAAAAAATCTAAAGTTTTACTGAAAAGTAAATATTAAAAAGCTAATAATTTTTTTTGGATGGTTTGATGAAAGGTGAACCATTTCCTCGTTTCTTCTTGAAGAAGAAAACTACTTTATGATGACGAGGATTGACGACATTACTCACTATTTTTATTACTTAATTGGGAGTAAATTACACAAATGGTCCCTATTATTTAGGGTAATTTGCGTGTTTGGTCCTTATTTTTTTTTTTAATTCGGAAGGTCCTTACAGTTTGTTTTTGTTACACGCTTGGTCCCTGTCTTACCTAAAAAGATTATTTTGCCCTTGATTTTTTAATTTATTTAAATAAACACGCGCCCACCTCCACCCCTTCACCTTACCTTACATACCTCACAATTTTTCCCTATTTAAATAATAGCTTTTTTAGGTAAGACATGGACCAAACGTGTAATAAAAACAAACAGTAGGACCAAGTGCGTAACAAAAACAAACAGTAAGGATTTTCCGAGTTAAAAAAATAAGTTAGGGATCAAGCTCGCAAATTACCCCAAACCATAAGGACTATTCATGTAATTTACTCCTTAATAATTGGTTTATATTTATTACTTAATTGGTTTATATTTATTAATTTTTTTTTTCATTTACTTTATTTCATTTTCAATAGTTTATTTCATTAGATGTCATGTTTCAACTTTCACGTTTTGTTTAGCATGTGAAATATGTTTTACTCATAATCTAACTATAAAATAATTACTATATTTGTTGAAATGCACTAATAGAGTTTCTTGAAAACCAAAGACAAAATTGCAAGAATGGTCCCTATGATATGTCGAAAATTGACACTTTGAGCCAAATAAGTTTTAACTAGCACCAGTGGTCCAAAAATATTCATTTTGTTGCGAGTTTGGTCTATTTTGGTTTTATTTTTTATAAAATGATGATTTTGCCCTTTGTATTTTCTTTTTTCAAAATTTTAATTACATAAAAAAAAAAATCTCTTTTTTCTCTCTCTCATGTTATCCATCCTATACACATCTTCTTCTTCTTCCTCAATAACACTCAAGAGCATCTACCACCACCATCACCACCACCGTTCGCCACTACCACCATCCGTAACCACCCATAGATGAACAAACACACACAAAATCATATAAACACACACAATACACAAAATCTGAAGAACAAACAAATAAATCAACACAAACATCCATCGAATTTTCAACAGATTCAACACAAAAACACACATATATTAAACACGGGCGCGCACACACACGAAATCTGAAGAACACACAAACATATCAACATAAACATCCATCAATTATTCAAAACACACAGACACACACACAGATTAAACACACACACACACACACAAAACCCAAAAATTGATTCTCTCTCTCTCTCTCTCTCTCTCTCTCTCTTAGAGATTTGAAACCCCATTCTTCTTCTTCTTCTTCTTCTTCTTTTTCTTCTTCTTCTTCTTCTTCTTCTTCTCTTAGATCTGAGATGGTATTTGAAACCAGACCTTAAATGGTAGTGTTTTTTCGTAAATCCAGTTTTGCTAAGGGTCTCGTCATGGGTTTAAAAAACCTTAGCTTCGTCAAGCAGTACATTGCAGATGTATCCCCCTCAATTTCCAGCCGCGAAACACCTTATCTGAAAACCCTAGCCGCTAAGAAACCCTAACTTCAGATCTCAATCTCTTTTCTTTCGTCCTCGGCTGTCAAGGTTTAAAGGGAGGGCAACAAGGATCAAAGCGGGTTTTGGGGTAGTGCTACCTGACTGGAGGGAGGCAGAGGGGCAGCCAAGGCCGACGACAGCCGTCAATTTCTTCTTCTTTGGCCATTGATAAGAAAGAAACGATATATATATATATATATATATATATATATATATATATATATATATAGTACGTGTGAGAGAGAGAGTGTGTGTGTGTGTGAGTGAGTGAGAGAGAGGGCAAATTTTCTTTTCTTTTTTTATTTATGTAATAAAAAAAACTGAAAAATGAAAATACAAATGGCAAAATTGTCATTTTATAAATAATTAAACCAAAATGGACCAAACTCATAATAAAATGGAAAGTTTTGGACCATTTATGCTAGTCAAAACCTCTTTGCCCAAAGTACCAATTTTTAACATACCACAAGAACATTCTTGCAATTTTGTCAAAACCAAATAATGAGTTTAAGGGTTGGATAAGCTTTACCAAAAAAATTGGGTTTCAAGATCTAGACTATATTTAATAGACTGATTGAAAATTTTGTTCTCAGCTCATAAAAAACAATTTTTTGTAAAATTTAACCGATAGGCTAGCTGTGATTGCAAATGACATAAAAAAAACATGTACAGGAATGATTTAATACTATAAAAAATACATATAAAAACTCAACAAATACGTGACAAATCTAATATATTCCTAAATTACTCTTCAACCACCTATGTTCCAGATAAGATTTGAATTCTCGATCTTAAAGAGTGATGCCAACACATAGTAGGTATAAATATATATTTATTTTATATAAAAATATATATTAGTAAAAATATTTACATACATTTAAAAATGTATGTATAAAATATTTTTATACATTAAAAAATGTATTAAAAATTAATAATAATAATAATAATAATTATTATTATTATTATTATTATCAAAATAATCAAAATAAAAATCAATGTAAGAGTAAATTCGAACATTTTTGAAAAACTTAAGGGTAAATCCGAACATTTTTGAAAATTCAAGGGCTTTACTGGCATTAGGTAACCGGCTATAAGGGTAAAAAATGAAAAAATTCAACAAAACTTTGGGCTTTACTGGGTCTAAAACATGTCCAAGGGTAAAACTGACATTTTTGTGAAAAATTAAGGGCTTTTATGTCATTTTCCCATATATATATACAGGTTGTGATACACTATTTTCGATATGGGATATGTATAAAATCTTTGCTAATTAATATCCCATAATACTAGGAAAGATAATCTTGTTGTGATGATAAGATCATCTTGGCTAATATACCCCTACAGTCGAATCGGGAGGAGCATGAACGTTGAGACTGTTTTTGAAGTCATCAAATAGCACGAGAGATAGACCTTTGGTGAAGACATTTGTGACTTGATAGCATGAGGGAATGTGTAACACCCATAATCAGAAAGACCAAGAAAGGAAAGGAAAACCCTAAATCAAAGGGGTCAACTCGTCGAGTCCAAGGTGGAACTCGACGAGTCCGAGCGGGATCCGGGTCGAAGAGTAAGTGACCGACTCGACGAGTGGACTCGGCGAGTCCAGTCTGTATTGGGAAACCCTAAGTTCGGGACTTGGTGCCCTATTTAAAGGACCTTAAGTCCTCTCCTTAGTCCCCCTTGTCGGCCAGAAGCTGCTATACACGATTCCAAACCCTAGTTGAGTGAGAGAAGGAAGGAAGTGGGTTTGGGGATTTTGCAAGAGGAAGGTTTGGAGGATTTGACCACTAAGGAGCTGGAGGATCCAACCCTTTTTTTGTGAGCATCAGTTTGAAGGTAACAATCTGTCACTTTGCCTTTGTTGCTTCTAGATCTTCTCATGGATGATGTTTTGGGGCCATTTTGGTATGATAAGGAGCCTTTTGAGTTAGAAGTCAAGATCTGAGGTTGCTACTTCAGATCTAGGTGTGTCTTGGCCCATAGATCCATAAAGTATCATTTTTTGGTGTGTTGGTTAAGCATGTTTGCCACAAACCCTAGCCCTAGAGTGTTTTAAGCCCATATATCTCTTTGGTTTCACATAAAGTTTGCAACTTTACGTGAGGAATAGAGTTGGGACAAGTGGATCTATGAGTTGGAGCCCCTGTATGGCTTGAAAAGCCATTGTATGGACTAAGAACTGAAGCGACTCAGTGAGTCACATGGGTGAACTTGGCGAGTTGGATGAAGGTGGGCATGGACTCGACGAGCTGGAAGAACAACTCGGCGAGTCTGTTGAAGATTGTCATGGACTCGACGAGTCTGGTCGTGAAACACTAACCCCTTCTGGTTAAGGCTCATATCAGTGAGTTGAATGGTGACCCAGTGAGTTGGACATGATGGGAATCAGAGATCGTTGAGCTCGACGAGTCTTGGGGTGACTCGGCGAGTTGGGTCGCATTATGAGGGTTCTGAGTACATGTACTCGATGAGTCAAAGCACTGAATCGGCAAGTAGAGTCATCCAGAAAGATTGACTTTGACCAGAGTTGACTTAGTTTGGCTTCTAGAGCTCAGTTGGGACTAAGTGATATATGTTTTGATATTGGTAGCTCGGGGAGCTAGTGGAGCAGCGGTTCAGAGAATTTTCGGTCAGCAGCAAGAGGGTTATCAGCAAGTTCAGCAGTGCATGTGAGTTTCCCTTTGTGTGAATGGGTCTACAGCCACAATGTCGGCCCATGTAGTTGTGAGTAGGAAGAACCAGGGGTTAGCCCTAAGCACTGTTTGCTAGTATGATATTCTGGACCAAGGTCCGATGTCGAGCGGGTGCCCAAGGAATGGTTTGCATGATAGAGTATACTTATTGTCTGTGTGATGCATGTATGTGCCTGGTAGGAAGGTGAGTGTAGGTGAGGTCCCGTAGCTCACCAATAGTAGAGTATGGACGGTGTTC